ACCAAAAATGGCTTGCTGTCGAAATTAGGGACAGGGCTCCTAATAACGACAGATTGAGTCCTCGATCGTATACCGCTGATATCTCGGTAAAAAATTGGAGGAGAAAACTCATTTATACATCATTCGAAAGAGGACAATCCAGGGATCATCGATATATAAAAATATTTTCATTCTCATGTAAAATAGTTGTGAACGAACTCAAACAAGATAGAGCAATTTTTTGCTGTCGTAATTAGGGACATTTGCTCTATTTAGTTAAAAGATAAACTATTCAATGCACTTTTTCATGCTAATTCCGAATATCATATTTATTTTGAATGAGAATGCACTTTTGATAGTCAAAATATCGAAATACAGTCTCAAAAGAGGAAAATTAATGCAAAAATTGGTTACAATTTCCCAATACAAGGCAGTTTTAGGACTCTAGCGCAAATGTTGAAGAATCACTAAACAATGCATTTTGTAGCTCTATTTAAGGCGCAGTTTCTGACAAAGTTTGATCCATGGGTACTTCTCCTGAGAGTAACACCATTCATCACAGTGAACCTATAACTATCAATTTTGATCAAAAAAAGTGTGAAGTTGATAAGAAACCATCGTTTTTCTCTTCTGAATATTATGTGGTTAAAGATGTTAGATATGTAAACTTGTAGCCCGTCAAAACGCTATATAACCATATATAAGGAACATTTGTTACAATATCCTTCGACTAACTTATAGGGACTATACTGATGAGCTATTTGTCACCATTTTGGATCCTACCCCTCCGTTAGTAAATTGATTATAACTCTTCCTAAACATTTTAGAGAATAGACTTATTATATACCATTAGATGCGCCTTGAAACTCTCTACAAGATAGTGTATTTGGTTTCTCAATTTTGGATAGATCATCTTATCCGACACGATCGTTTCTCAACAAGACACATAGAAAGAATATTATATAAATTTTGCACTTATATTCAAAATACTTAGGACTAGAACAATAAAAAAAGAAACATTTAATCTATAAAGGTTGCTGAAAGAGAACATTTTGGAATTATCCGAATATGTTATTTCACTCTTCCTTAATAGAAGCTCCAATGATTGTCCATATAATTCCAGATTTGTTAATGAAAATACAAAATTTCAGATTAAAATTTCAATAAAAACATTTGTTACAACAAACATTGAAGATCATTTTTTCCACTGTAAATTCATATCAATTTTGTCTTTTCGTATTCAAAATCTTGTAGCAGTTTCATTTGAAAGTCATATAATCTTGTTTACAGTTCAATTCTATAGTCGACAATAACAAGAAATATTTTATGAAAATTGTTATTGCTTTGAAAAAAGCTCTTCCGTACTATACAAATTATATCTTCAATTTTGGAATCCAAATTTTCTCATCAAGAGTACTATTTAAAATATCGTAGATACACAAGTAACGCTCGTCAATGGACTCGCTCAGCTCTTTCTCCTAGAAGTGCCATTTATGGACGCTTCTCAAAATTTTCCCTAATAAACATAAATAATAGTAGCTAGCTCCAGATTGAAATTCATCTTTCAAAATTTTCTCAAGCGAAGTTTTTCTATAAATTATGCTGACATTAATGCATTTTACTACTCCTTAGCATTGCTAACTTATTAATACAAACTTCTCTACATCCTTATGTTTTCTTTCAAAAATTCTTTGGTGAATTTCGCCAGAAAAAACACGAATAATAGTAGTTCTTAGTAAAAAACCAAGAGACTTTGGATGCCAGTACTGATCACAATTTTTCCCTTTGAAGTGTCGTAAAAAATGTTTATGATTAATAATTCAAAGCAGATTCCAGATTTGGATTACCCATTCTCAATTACCTTCGATCAAGTTCTATCGAAAACACAAAGAACTAATAATTCATCAATAACACGTTATTAATTAAAATCAATCGCTGATCCGTATTGAGTAGCCTCGTCCCTTCCCTTTAGCCAATTTTTTGAAAAAAACATTGCTAATAAGAATCAATTGATTATCGATCAATTATTAACCAATTAAAATACTCCTCAGATATGGATTTATAATCCCTGACCAACTATGGACAAGTCTTATAGAAGTATATGAATAATTCTCATTAGTGAATGAATAATTCGCTGAAACTAACCTCAGATTCGACCTACTCACCCTCGATTACTCTTTGGACAAGTTTTATTAAAAATGTCAATTATTAATTAATTAATAATTAATGATTAGTTAATAATTAGTTAAAACTAACCTCAGATTCGAACTGCTCACGTCCGATTACCCATTGGTCTAGTTTTATGGAAAATAATCCCTTTTATCTTCACTTTGTTTTGGACCAATCACTGAAGTGCGGACATACAAGCAAGCAAGCAAACAATTATGTTCGCAAGACTCTTCTCTACGAGTAAGAGAATAGAGAAAACCGTAATTTTATCGTTCTATACGAAATTCTATGCATTCAATATCGAATTTCAAAAACATCTTAGTTCGCACAAATTATTGAATTTCAGAAAGAAAAGAATTTTCTATTTGAACAACCAAGCGTTAAATAATAAGTTTTGTTTTTTATTAATCAATAAAATCTACTAGAAAAAGATCAACAATTTCAAACAAGAACATTTCTCTATAGAATAAATTTATTAGAAAATGTTCAAAAATGGTCCTGACAAGAACATTGTCCATTTGGATGGAAATGATGTATGCGATTAGCATCACTAACAATAATATGGCATTGTCGAATTTTTGTTATCATTTTTGTCATTTGATCTTATATAAAAAAGAAAATCATACACTATTGAGAATGATAGGAATGAAAAGAAAGTTAACTTACGACAATCACCACATATACGAAGATTTTTAGTTACTTGAATAAATTTTGTATCTGGTTCTTCAACAAAATTATAAGCAATTGCGATTCTTTCACTGTGACCACATAGAACAGATAAATTTGTTTCTTCTTCTTTCAATTGACGAGTTACCCATGAAGAATCATATTCATAACCATGTGCAATTGCTTCGGATGTGAAACGTTGAAGTTCAGAGTAAATTTCTGATGATTTTGGATGAGAATAATCATGAGCTGTGAATTCCTATATCAAATAACATATTTTCTTTATTTATTTAATAAAGATTTTTTTACCACTAGTTGATCCTTTACTTCCGTCCATGTTAATCCTAGTTTGACATTCGTTTCTAATTCTTTTATTTGATTATATCGAAAAGTTCTTGCTAGTTCATGTTGTCCCACTGAAGAATATATATTTGAAAGAAGAATTGCTCCTGACATAAGATGGTCTTTTTCATTAGGAAACAAAAATTTGATTCGATTATATATCATCTCAGATAAATTACGATTTCGATTATTACGTGCACCGGATAATAACGATACTAAAATAAAAGTAAATAAATAAACAAAACATCAATATTACATTACAAAAAAAAAAAAAATACTAACTATACATGACTAAACTTGGTTCATTTGTTTTTTCGTATTCATTGATTAAATTTTGTGCTTCATCAAATAGAAATAAACGACTTAAACAATCAATCTTAAATATAATATGAAATGTTAATTCGTTTTAGATAATAATTAAATTAACAAGAACAAACCATAGTAGTATAAATTCTCTCTGTTTTTAAAGGAATGTCATTAAAAATACTCCAAGCTTCTTGAAGAAGACCCGAATGAGAACATGCATTTAAAACACAAATATGTGAAATTTCATCATGTAGATTATTCGGCATTTTTCTATATAATTGAATAGCTTCAGAACCCATTCCATGGAGACCAAATGCATTAACTTCAGAAGAAAAATCTTTATATTGAATAAAAAAAACAAACAAGTTAATATAAATACTCATGGCAGTATATGTTATTGTATCACGATCAACAATTGATTCAAATACATTTTGTGCTTTTTCAATTGAAGCACATTTACCCTTTTAAAGAAAAACAAAATCTTTTAATCAAAGCTCTATTGAGTCTAAAATATACTGCATTTCATATATTTTCTTTGGCTGTATTATACTAAACAATTATAATCATCGACCTAACTGATAAATAATTTTCATAGAGAATATCTATTATTTGACTTTGATTGAAAAATTCTCTCATACAAAGTCTCTGTCACATGAACAAGTCTTGGAAATTTTATGTAATGGAGAGAGGCATGTAAAAAGCGAGTCTTCGACTTCAAACTTATGCTGACTACTTTTCCTTGAAAAAAACACATTTGAATTACACAAAACAAACAATATTTATCAAAATAATAAAACACACAGTGAAAATCAATAATCAATACTTACCCACATATGAATTAACGAATTTTTTATTTGTTTTTTACTCTGAATTTCAAAAGGAATCTTATTAATAATATATTGGCTACGACGAAGTAAACGAATTTTTGAACATGCACCGATAACTATATTCCATATGATCTCATCGGGGAAAATATTTTCTTTGATCATTTCTTCCAAGATTTTAAAGCATTTCCTTGATAAACCATTCATATTGTAACCATTCATTAAAGCACCAAAAGTACTAGTATCTTTCTTTTTGATTGATTGAAAAACGTTTTCCGCACTTTCAATATCACCAAACTTCATTAACATATGCATCGCTGAATTCAACACAATATTGTCATGTCGAAATTTTTGAGGAATTCTATCCAGAAGTACTTTTCCTATTTTCATTGCACGATCATTAGCCAGTTCAGCACAGACCTTAAAAACAGTAGTATAAGCAAAACTATTTAGATTTAATTCAATTTGTTCAAATAAATCCAAAGCTTTTTCAGACATTTCGTGTTCGACATATCCTAAAATAGAAGCTTACAAATATTCCAAAATCTGTTTAATATAGTCTACCATTCATCATAGTACCATAAGTAACAATATCTTTTTTTTTAATTGATTGAAAAAGTTTTTGAGCACTTTCAATATCACCAAATTTCATTAACATATGTATTGCTGAATTCAATAGAACATTATCATTTCGAAAATTTTGAGAAATATTAATCAGAAGTGCTTTTCCTATTTTCATTGCTCGATCATTGGCAAGTTCAGCACAGGCATTAAAAACAATAATATAAACAACATTATTTAAGTCTAATTGAATTTGTTCAAATAAATCCAATGCTTTTTCAGGCATTTGATTTTTGACATATCCTAAAAAAGAAACTTAGAAATATCCCAAAATCTATATAATACACTTTACCATTCATCATAGTACCATAAGTAACAATATCTTTTTTTTGAATTGATTGAAAAAGGTTTTGAGCACTTTCAATATCACCAAATTTCATTAACATTTGTATTGCTGAATTTAATACAGCATTATCATTTCGAAGATTTTTGGGCATTTCATTAAGAAGCTTTTCCCCTATTTTCATTGCTCGATCATTAGCAAGTTCACCACAGGCATTAAAAACAATAATATAAATAACATTATTTAAGTCTAATTGAATTTGTTCAAATAAATCCAATGCTTTTTCAGGCATTTGATTTCTGACATATCCTAAAAAAGAAAGTTAGAAATATCCCAAAATCTATATAATACACTTTACCCTTCATCATAGTACCATAAGTAACAATATCTTTTTTTTGAATTGATTGAAAAAGCCTTTGAGCACTTTCAATATCACCAAATTTCATTAACATATGTATTACTGAAGTTAATAGAATATTATCATTTCGAAAATTTTGAGGAATTTTATCCAGAAGTGCTTTTCCTATTTTCATTGCTCGATCATTAGCAAGTTCACCACAGGCATTAAAAACAGTAGCATAAGCAAAATTATTTAAGTCTAATTGAATTTGTTCAAATAAATCTAAAGTTTTTTCTGGCATTTGATTTTGGACATATCCTATAATATAAGCTTACAAATATTCCAAAATCTATGTAGTACATTTTACCTCTCATCAAAGCACCATAAGTAATAATATTTTTTTTTTTAATTAATTGAAAAATGTTTTCAGCATTTTGAATATCACCAAATTTTATTAACATATGAACGGCTGAAGTTAATAGAATATCATCATTTTGAAAATTTCGAGGCATTTCATTAAGAAGTTTTTTTCCTATTTTCATTGCTCGATCATTAGCAAGTTCAGCACAGGCATTAAATAAAACAGTGAGAGTATACTTGTTAGGTTCGATTGTGATTTCATCGAATAAATCAAGCACTTTTTCAGGCATGTTGTTAGAGATAAGACCTATTACAAACAACTATGTCACAAGTAAAACGCAAAATAAATACTAACCTTTGAACATAACTGTGTAGATATAGTTGGATTTGTTTGTAATTGTTGAGAATAGACGAGTTGCGTTGACAATATCACTACATTGCACTAAATATAATAACAACATGATCAATATAAATTTACATTAAGTATTGAACCTTATAAGAAACTATTTGCATAGGGATCGGCCATATTAGAAGATGTCAAAGCTTGTTATCTATCTTATTGTTCACAAGTTACCTCAGATCTTCTATTATGCCTATCAAAATAATTAGTTTTGTTAGCCTCGCTAAATTTCACCTTCAAGACATATTAATCCAATAATATCATTAGAAAACGATTTTATTTTACATTCGAACACCTAGAAAGACAGACACATTTTTCTACAAAGAAATGAAAATTATCATTGATATCAAGTATTCTCAACAGAATGCAATCAATGTCTCGCAATGTCTTGCTATAATATGCAATGGTATTCTTTTTTTCTCAAGAATTGAATGTGCAACCAACAATATTATATCTTTTCAAAAATTGAATAATTTAAAATAAAGATAAAAAGTTTTATTCTTGTCAAACTTATTTAAGGTGGTTGTCGCTTATGTTGAAATCTAATTAGTATAGATAATAATTTCTTCACAATGATATCTATCACTAGTATAACCATTTGTCAGAAAGTAATTTCTATGAATACGGTTTTCTGGTGAATAGTTTATAGAAAATCCACAATTGAATATACATTCTATATTTTCTTTTATATTGTTTCAAAAAATTCCTTTATGTATGATGAAGCAAAGAAATACATTCACTGATTAAAAAGAACTATTTATAAAATAAAATCCTGACGTGCACATATGAATTTAATAGTTTTTGTGGTATGAAAGATTGATTTGTGATAAAAATTTTTTCTGAATTTTTATATATAAAGTCAATACTACAGAGATATTCTTATTGACATGCAACAAAAATTTACTGAGTATTTTAATCTTTTACAAAAATTTTTTTATGTATTCTACGCTCGAATGTACAATACGCCTATTATATCTAACGACTACAAGAGTTTTTTTTTATCATATAAAGACTATTAAGAATTGTTTCAGAGTAAGCTTCAAATGATAATTAAAATGATTACACAATATTATCTCTGTGAAGAAATTCATTCTTGAACTAACAAATATTTTTTATTAGCTACATCTCAAGATCTCCATAACTTTGAGCTGACTTTTCGTTCTAATCAGCAGCACGATTCTGTCTCTACTGAACTTAGATTTTAGTATGTGTTTAAAAACTAAGGAAAGTTGATAAAGTGTAGATATTAATTTTAAAAGTTGTTTTTCTGACGATCGAAAGCATAAGGAAAGAGATTTTGAACATGTTTCTTTTTGCTTCATCTATCGAAGGTAAGTCCTCTAATAAATCGATTGATTTACTACCATATTTCGTACTTCTTTCGTTTAATAAAAGTACAAATGTAGGTATTTATTCGGTGTACTTTGTACTTATTATTCAACTTTGACAAGAGTACTTGCTACATAAGCTTCTAATTTGAGAAAAATACTTGCATAATTTTATTAGAGTGCAAATACTTCAAGTTAGGACGAGTAGATGTCATACTACACGTAATACTTCGAATGCTACAGGTATTAAGCGAGATTCTATAGAGAATATATCTTGTTAGCATTTGAAAACCTATATGTTTCATATCCAGGTAGCTATGATAACAAGTTCTCTTCGTACTTAACTAGAAGTGCAAGTAGAATAATTTTACTTAGTGTAGTTGTCGTAGCTTTGCTAACTAATATTAATTGCTGACGATATGATTATGTTCTTGTTGAATGTTTAACATAAATAATCAGAAAATGTTGTATTCCCTCCTGTCTATAATGTTTTTTTTTTTTTTATTATGTTTGCCTCATGAAATAAAATCAGTCTGAAATCTGATTGAATATTTCCAGTAATGTTTGACACATTTTATAGTTAATGATTCTCAGTAGTTTAAGTGAAAAGAATATTATTTTTCTATTGAAATGGAAACAATAAGTTTTTTCTGTTCGATTTAAGCGATTGAAAATGTTTCATTTATTTAAATGAAATCTATAACTATGTAAATCTTATTATGGTGATAAGATGTAAAATAAAATGGAATTTCTTCATTAAAATTGAAAATTCTCATATTCATTTGAATATTTATATATTTATTTTATTATATAGTATTATTGTGATAAATAAAATAAATGACTTACTATAAAACTGAATTAATGATGGTTGAATATAAGAATTATTAATTGAATTTGATGATAGCTTTTGGTGAATATTAATACCACGTTTGTAATCTTTTAATATGGTACATGCTTTTATTGCCATATTAATTGTAACATCTGTACATATATCAAACTTTTGATCAAACAGTTCAAGAGCTTCTTTATATTGTTTAGAATCAAAAAGTTTTTGTAATGTTAAATTTAATTTTATAGATGACGAATTTGAAAATTTTGTGTTATTTTTCTGGTAGACAGAAAGTACGCGTTGGAATCGATAAATCAAATTAATATTCTTAATGAATAACATTTGTTAATCTAAAATATTAAAGTCAATATTAAGATTTGCCTGTTTTGAGAAAGAGAAAAGAATATTAATAGTAAAAAATATTCTCCTTTTTGAATCTCCTGAGTTTTAGACTAAGGCCTCAAACACACTAAAATGTAAATTAACGTTACCACTTAGTGTGAAGATAGCCGAACCGGATCATCTAGCCGGAACAAAGTAATTATTCTATTGGACGATGAGGTGTGCAATAGATAACGTAGTTTTTATGAAACACCAAGATAGAGGAATAGTAAAAATAATATTTTGGACATGGCGCTCTTGGTGACAGTTTACACTCTAAAAAATGCCATGTGTCTTACAAGACAGTTCAAGTGTCTATTTCCCATTAATTTTCCTTGAGCGTCTAAAATCGGTTATCCGTTGACACGTGACGCGTCTTGTTGAGACAGGTAATGCGTCTTTGTTTTAGAGATATAGTGTGTCTTCGTAAGTCGCGTCATGTGTCAACGGATAACCGATTTTAGACGCTCAAGCAAAATTAATACAAAATAGACGCTTGAACTGTCTTATCTAAGTGTCTTAATTTTTTAGAGTGTTTAGATGAGACATTGATTTCTCTGTTCAGTGGAACTGTCTGTCAGTGTAAAGACTATGTTTTTTTCTGTTGAGTATTATTAGAAATCAAGACAACGCAAATAATAAGCACACAATCATATAAAATCATTAAAAAAAAAGAAAATTAACAACTTATGCCATTTCAATATCATATGAACCGTCACGTGAAGCATATTTTGGTTTCGAGATTATATATAGTTGAGTAAAAATTTCACCAGTTAATGTTTTTCCTAATTCAACTTCATATAGTCTCAACATGAGTATCATATCTACAGGACATTTTTGAATAAACGACGTATGACGACGTATGAATATTCTTAAAATATTATTATTTATGAAACAATCAATTATAAAGAATACTTCGTTCTTATTCTTATCTATTGTTACTTGTCTCTGAATTCGATGCATATTATTCAGATTACCAAAATAAGATCGATCCCATCAGTTTGTTCCACTTCATCAAGTCGTGAACAAAGCAACAATTGTAACTTCGCTGATATAATTAGCCAAATTCTGTTTGGAGCAACTAATGTTAATTTAACAGTTCCTGTTGACAATGCACATGTTAGAATGATGTTCGATGCTGCACTTGAATTTGTCCCTCGCAACACTAAATTATTGTCTTGGAGTTATGGAGCGTCATACACATGTTTTGAATGTAAAGAAAGTGAGTTTCAACAATTGTTTTCCTATATTTCTGATGATATAATGACTTATTTATAGAAAATGATATTTTTCAAAACGATTGTCTACTATTTTCGAATGAGATACATATTTTGAAAGATAATGAGATTTCTCTCGACGAAACATTATTTCAAACAAAACTTGTTCCAAAACTTCGATGCAAGAATATTTGTGAAGATTATAATTCTATAACAATTACAAATTATTCTATTCTTGAAATACCTCGATTTGTTTTCGTTACTTTTGCTATTAATTCGCTGAACAATTGTACAAATAAACCAAAGAAAGATCAATCGATGAGAACTGCTCCAGAGAAAATGTCGGTTAAATGTGACTTATTACAATGCTGCCACACATATGATTTATTTCGTTTTATCGTAGTTACTAAAGATGAACGAATTTTACTCGTAAAAAAAATGTCAAATGACGAATACTCGGTATTCAATCAACAAACAAAAGTATACGAATGTCTAAAAGGTTATCGATTTAATGATTTTATTATCGCATCGGCTACCCAGGACGAGCATTACGACAATCGTAAACGATCGTATACGATGTCGTATACGATCGTGAACGGTCGTATACAGTGCACATTACGATCGTATACGACCGTATTTCGCCGTATTACTTGACACCTGAATTACGGCCGTATATCGTCGTGTCGTATACGACGTGTATACGACCATCGTAAACGGTCGTACACAGTCGTATACTATGTCGTTTTTCATCGTATTTCATTCAAAATTTTGCCACCTAGCTCCCCCTCCCCCTTTGACTTTCCAAAGAAGAAAAAGCTAAGCCCATATACACACTAGAAAAAGTGAATTAACTTAAGGTTGAATTAATTAATTCAACCTTAAGTTAATTCATTTTTTCTAGTGTGTCATATGACCTAATTCGTTAGGGTGTCAAGTCTCACTAAACACCCCCATTGAATAACAGTTATACTTTACTATTTTATTTATTCTTTTCAATAATCTAAAAAATTGAAAAATAAATTTATTTAATCTGAAAAAATAAACAATAAAATTTATCTAATCTAAAAATAAAAGATAAAATTTAATTAATCCAAAATAAAATATAAACTTCATTTAATCTAAAAAATAAAAAATA